CATGTGCAACCTATAGGTCCATTGTTGCAGAAACAAAGGGAACAGGCATTTCATAATGCCGATTTCATAATGTCTGTCCCAGGTTTGCTTCAACCCAATTCTTTTTTTTTTTTTTTGAAGTGGAACAGTCATTTATTGCTGGTGAGAATGTGAAATGGTGCAGCCACTTTGGAAAATTCTTTGGCAGTTTAGCACATCCCCAATTCCTCTTTTAACTCTGTGCGAGTTATAACTCTTGTCCCTGGAGCCCTTGTGGTGCCAAATCCTTTCCTGCTACCAAATATCCAAATAAAAAGAATTTTAAAAAAAATACACACATTTTAAAACTCTAACACATTAATCAAGCAAAATTCAACCCAACTCTTGATTACAGAGGTCACCACTGAGTCCCCAAGTCTCCTTAGGGATCATTCAATTTTCATATTTAAATTCCCTTACTGGGCAAGTAGCAGCAAACACATTGTGAAACTAATAAACAACTAATGGGCTGTTACTTACTATGTAATTGAATAATATACCTCACAGACCTTTTAGGATTATCCTTTACTGGTATGAGTATTTTCAGTGTTCGTATCTGTTTATTTTGACACCATTCACTAAAGTTTGGGTGAAATATGATGCTTTATAATTGACCCATGAATACTGAATTCTTGAAACACAGAAATTAATGACTTTAATGAAAATATGTCAATTTCTTCACCCAGATGAGTGTTGAAGGCTGGGTACCATTTCCATCACATGGCTCTCTGTCTCAGAAATCTTGATAGGAGATTTAAAGAGAGCAGCATTTTGTATGAAAGGATTTGGGGCAGTATTCTTCTAAAGCTAATTAATGTGTGGAAAGTGATTATTTTTCTGAAGAAATGAGAGAAGGAAGGAACTTTCCAGTAGACCTCCCCACAACACACACACCCCCAGCACCCCCCAACTTCTCCACGTACTCGAGGGAGCTCAGAGGAGCCCTCCAGGGCTTCCTCCCTCCGCGCCCTTACGTCCTGACTGTTCTATGCGAGCACTTTTGTGATCGTGGAGTTTGGAGGTTTATCTGCTGAAGACACTAAGAGGAAAAATGATCAGCATCCGGGTCTCTACATCTAAGCGCGGTGGTGTTCATGCAGCTCTCTGTTGTATTAAAAATCTACTCTCAACCATTTCCCAACGAGCGTCAGCTTTGGTCAACACCCACAGGTGAACGCGCACAGCCCGGCGTGAACGCGCACAGCCCGGCGTGAACGCGCACAGCCCGGCGCCGGCTGCAGTCGACAGCCACAGACGAACGCGCACAGCCCGGCGTGAACGCGCACAGCCCGGCGTGAACGCGCACAGCCCGGCGCCGGCTGTAGTCGACAGCCACAGGTGAACGCGCACAGAGACTTCAGCGGACAGCCGTGATATGACTTTTCTAATTTGTCATTTATCAAAATAAAATCGTGAACATTTAAAAATAACATAATGAAAACACATATGTATATGTTACCTATTCTGATTTACATGACAAGTAAAGCTGCCTGTAAAGTGAAACAAGCTGTCAGTGCTTTGAACTGTCCTCCTCACACAGGAGCGGGACGCCCGGCCGCCAGTGCGCGGCCAGACCCGCGGGCGCCGGTGTGGGCGAGGGGTGTGGGCGCCGGTGTGGGCGAGGGGTGTGGGCGAGGGGTGTGCGCCGTGTGGGCGAGGGTGGTGGCGGGTGTGGGCGAGGGGTGTGGGCGAGGGGTGTGGGCGCGGTGTGGGCGAGGGGTGTGGGCGAGGGTGTGGGCGGGGTGTGGGCGAGGGGTGTGGGCGAGGGTGTGGGCGAGGGGTGTGGGCGAGGGGTGTGGGCGCCGGTGTGGGCGAGGGGTGTGGGCGAGGGGTGTGGCAG